CCCTGTGGGAATAATAGGTGTTGACTTCCTTTTTAGGTTATGATTCCTGCGTGTGAATCTGTGTTTTTTTTAACCCATTTTGATTTTTGAGGTTTCAACTGGAAAAATCGTCATAATTTTGGTGCTGGTTGCTGGGGATTGGGTTTGTGGTGATGGTTGGAGATAATGCGCTCTGCGGCGAAGGGGCTAGCCAGTAGGGCGGAAATAGGGCACAACAGCGGTGGAGATGGTGGCTCTACCGCAGTAAGTCTTGCCGTAGTAAGGTTGAGAAGGTTTTGTTGGATGTTTGCAACCAGTGCTTGAATTTTTAATTTTCTGATTTCCGGTTTTTTCAAAAATGAAGAGATATAAAATTCACCCCTGCAAGAAAAAAACGTTTGTTTCATCGGAAAGCGAGAAATTTGGAATATGAGAAAAGCCTCACGCTTGAGCAAAAATACAAAGCCTGCAAAGCTACAAGACTCACATCGGGTATACCACGGTTGCTCGATGGGAACCCCTACCCGCCCGTGCCCACCCCTTTTTTTTTTTGGCCACCCGTACCTGCCCGTACCCGTCTATTTTTTTTCTGGCTGCCCATACCCGTTTTGTTTTTTTCCCCCCCTACCCCTACCTGCCACTACCCACCCATGATCTCCAAAAGGGCAACTGTGCACGGCACTGCACGCCCTAACAACCACCACCTTTTGTTTGTACCTGCCCATACCCTACTCCCCCTTTGGAAGGGGTGCCCATACCCGCCCATAACCTGGCGGTTACAGTTGGGTACGGCTGGGTACGGGCAACAGTTACCCATTTGTGCTCTCTGCTAGCTAGGGGGCTAGCTCGTCGGATGTAAATAGGGCACAGCAGCAGCGGAGATGGTGGCTCTGCTGCAGTAAGTCTTGCCGGAGTGAGGTAAAGAGGACTGCTGGGGAGTCGGGGGTTTTGAGTCGTTTGTTCTTAGCCGAAGCGAGGTACTGGCCCTGGTATCTCAAAAAAAGGAGGGAAGGGGGTGGAGCTAGAACTGGAGGATGGAAGGCAGTAAGGGGGCTCTTAACAGAGGAGGGTTGTTGGTTCAGGTAAGTAGGTTAGAAGGATGATGCTGGGACGACACAGGCCGGTGCTGGAGCTTTTGCTCTGTGACCCAGGGGGAGCTTGAGGCCTGTGGAGTTATGCTGAGGGTGGAAGGCATAACCAGACCGTTCGACGTAGTCGACGCCGGGGTATTAACCCTGTAACCTGTGTCAGGGGCTTGCTGCTAAGGGAGATGTTGACAGAGGAAGGCACTTCCTGTCTGTCAGAACTAGGTTGGTCAGTACTGGGGAACATTGTGGTGCCCTGTTACCCTAGCAGAAGGGGGTATGAGATCAAGTGAGTTCTGGTATAAGGACTGAAAACCTGGACCGACGTTGCTGGAGCTTTTGCTCTGTGACCCAGGGGGAGCTTGAGGCCTGTGGAGTTATGCTGAGGGTGGAAGGCATAACCAGACCGTTCGACGTAGTTGATGCCAGGGTATTAACCCTGTAACCTGTGTCAGGGGCTTGCCGCTAAGGGAAATGTCGAGGGAGGAAGGCACTTCCTGTCCGTCAGAACTAGGTTGGTCAGTACTGGGGAAGGTTGTGGTGCCCTGTTACCCTAGCAGAAGGGGGTATGAGATCAAGTGAGTTCTGGTACGAGGATTGAAAACCTGGACCGACGTTCCGTCTGTTGAGGGGGGGAGTTTTGGATGGTAGGCGTTTCAGTTTTGACCCCCCCGTTCTCATGTTTTCCAAGCTTTTTCAGATTTTTTCTGAATTTTATCCGATCTCATGAGGAACGTTTTGAGAATGCTTTAGGATTCTGGGCACTTCTTGCAACTCATTTTAGGTTTTTCTAATGCTGTTATATTCATGGATCTGTGGTTTTTCAATGCGAGAACGACGCTGGCCGGAGCTGGGGGGTTACCGTGTAACCTGTTGATAGCAGGAGCGAGAGGCCTGGTAGAGAGATCTGGGGATGCCTTKGGCCGGGCATTCTAASGGAAAACCAAGGTTTGCTGTCGGTACGACGCTGGCCGGAGCTGGGGTGAGTTGTGTTGCCCTGTAACCTAGCAGGATGGGGCATGAGGCCTGGGAAAGTTCGGCAGGGAATAAGACAGTGTTAGAAAATTTTAGAATGTGTTTTGTTGGGGATTCCAAGGGTTCGGAGCATTCAAAGGGCGTCTGTGGCTTGCCGTTTTGACTTAGTAAGTGCTGCTTGAGTAGCCTAGCAATAGGTTAGCAGTTACCCATGTCTTTTCCTGAATCTCTTCAAAGTTCTCAGATTGTTCTTAGCCGAAGCCAGGTAATGGCCCAGGTATTTCAAATCATTTGTATAATTCTATATGACGCTGCGCCCGGTTCCCAGCACGTGTTGCTCCCCACGAATAGACTGGAGCATTTGTCCCCCCCCCAAAAAAAAAAGATCAGAGTGGTGGAGACAGACAACTATATGATTTTCGCTCCAACTACGTCTCTAGAAGATTTAGAAATAGACCCGGGAGGTTTTCTGAGGGTTGCCAGAAGAGTAAATATACTTTACTATACAACCAAATTGGGGTACAGGCTCAGAAGGAGGTCTCACCCACTGGCGGAATCACTGGCTAATCGATGGGAACGGAGGTTGGAAGTGCCCAAGGCGCAGGTCTCTCATCTTCCGTGGTCAGCATTGAGTAGTATAAGGTTAGGCAGGGTCAAAAGTTTACAATGGCTGATTTTCCACGTAGCGCTCCCGGTCAACGTTTGGCTGTATGAGTGCCAAGGCCATAATCAGAGGGATCAGATCAACCAAAAGTGCAATCTGTGTACTGATGAAGAGACGGAAACGCTGCTTCACTGCCTGCTGCAATGCCCAGAGGCGTCCTACGTGTGGGAAGTAGCCAGGGAACTGTGGCGAAAGATTTCAGATGAGGCCTTTCTGGAAGACAGGAGGATCCTCCTCACTGGTATGGAACTTCCAAAGAAATGGCAATTGGGACAAAAAAGAGGATTTCAGCTATTGAGACAATATGGACCAAATGGAAAAGAAGATGTCAGATGACGATAGGAAGGGGGCAAATGCACAGACTGGAGGCCAGGAAAGTTCTACACAACCTGTTGGAGACGGATATCACGGCCCAATGGCAAAGAGCAAGAAGGCAAGCCCAACAAAACCTGGAGAAAGCCCGCGAGACATTCGAAACGTTTCAACGGGTTACATTGGTTAAAGGTAAGATAGCAACAATAGAAGTATCCAGAGTAGTCTTCCACTGGTTTGAGAATACGGAGTAACGTGAGCAAGAATAGAGCGTCAGATTCGTTGAGGTAGTACATCAAAACCATGACAACATTACAGCGGAGGGTTTAGGGTTCAGGGTTTAAGGTTTAGGCAGGAGCAATGCAAACAGGGCTCGGGGTGTCAGAGATTTCAGGAGGGGTCCTGGGTGACTCTAGTTAAAACACAATTATCTGGCAGTTTCATTACTGAGAGGAGTCCAACTGGGATCACAGGGATGGTGAAAGGAGTACAAACTCAGGCTTACTTAAGCAGAGGTGAGGGATGGTACATCCTTTCTTATGGAAGTAATCAACGCCGTCTACTCGGGCCTCCCAGCCATAATGGGGAGGAGCGTGCGTGAGTTTCTTATGTATCTATTATTTACTTGCCCGTGGAAAGGAACCGGACTGTTGCTCCCCAGAATCAAAAGGTTCTGTTAAAAAAAAAA